AGGGTATACATTACATCATACAACCACAATGCTCCAGAACTCTAACCATCACGTAGGATAATGACCTTCAGGAGATTTAAGAGGACAAATATACCTAAATTAGTAATCAAAACATTGACCCAGTGTAGGCTAACTCTATGTGATTCTCAGTTTTTCATAACCTACAGACCATGGGTGAGCTGTGTCCCCTTTCCAATTACTACATCAGTGAGCAGCACAAACCAGCAAGAACTGATAAGAAAATGTAACACTTTTAGCTGGGACTCATGGGAACAAAGCATAACGATTTGCTGTGCCTTTCACAGCATACTCTGTGCTGTACTGCCAGGGAAAAATGTACAGATCCTTAAATAAAGTAAACAGTAGATAATGTCTCAGATGATACTCCTATAAATAGATGCCTGTCCTGGTTTATGACTTGAAATTTAATTTCTTGCACTCCCTGCAACTAATTGCTGTGTAGAAAAGCCTCATGCCCCACTTCCAAGTTGTCTCAAAGTCATCTATTTCCATGGTTAACTTTTGAATAATTATCTATTCCTGTAATGAAATCTGCAGTGGATTTTTTGTCATCTTTCAGTGAGAACCTCATCTTTGTTCCTGTATATGCGTGAAATGTTGGGGGAGCAAATTACATTTCTCACTGTGATTGACTCCTGTGAACTTATTTGGCTAGGTACCAGCTTGAGGCCCTAAATATTTGCTGGAATCAAATTCTATTTAGATTTGCAATTCATAAACCTAATTTTATTGCAGTTTTCGAAAAAATTATTCATGTGAAATTAATATATGCAGTCTACCCAGTCATAAATGTTGCTGCACAATAAGAGTGAAATGTTGGCATAAAGCATTATGATTAACTTTAAAATTATAATTATTTTCTTCCTTTTTATAACTTACATTAATTTTTTTAATTTGATTTCTGGTTATTAAGAGCATGTAGATTGCATTCAAGTCTTCTCCTCAAATCTTTTCCTCAGAGAGAATTCTAAAGTATTTAATTGTTTTTTTTGTTTTAAAGCTGAGATTCTCACTAATTCCTCTGACTGCAATATATAGGGCATGAAATAGAATACCAGATAACTGCAGGATTTCTGGCAAAGGTCACAGCAGTTAAATGCACATGGCATTAAGGAAACTCTTGAGAGGCAAAGCTAGGAGGCACAATGAAAAGTGAGAAGCTTTATTCTACTTTAGCCAAACCAGATTACAAGAAGGGCATGAGGGAGGACGAAGGAAACTACAAGCCTGTTAGTGTAAAATCAGTACCTGGAAAAATTATGGGGAGGATCATACTGGGTTCTATTGAAAAGCATATAAAGGACAAGGCAATCATCAATTTTGCTGGCAGCCTATTCACTGTTACGCACCTGATGTCTGTATTTTACTTCCAGCCAGTGTCAAACTAAAACATAAAACCTGGTCTTGCCTTTGTTGTGAAATTATGTTGTTTCAGTCCATCAAATTAGGCCAGTGTATCCATTATAATTGATCAAATGATAGTGGTATATTTCTAGGATTCAGCTATTAAACTAATAAAAGAGTGAGATTAAAAAAAAAAAGTTATTTTTTGGGGGGGTTGTTTGTTTTAATTAAAAGGCTGAGGATATTCTTACCAATCAGGGATATTAGAGCTGATCTACCACAACATTGGAACAAGCTTATTGCTTGATGTGCATCCTGGTTTGGTTTTGAACACTCTTGGCTTCTGTGTTAAGGTGAAAGGCCCTCCATCAGTAAGGTTGGATGGAGCTGCAGTGTTGCAGTATAGAGGGTCAGGGCACATTTTGTGACTTTGTATATGCTGCACAGGGCCACACAAAGTAGACTGAGAGGGTTGCCATGGCCTCTGTTGTTCCCATTTCTTCCTCACCTGGGTAATAGATGTTTTCATTACAGCCAATTCAGCTGAATGTATCTCACGGTTGGAAAAAGCTACTTGTTTAATTTTTATTTTGATTTAGGCTCTTAATTTCATCCCTTTTTGTCTTTCAAAGTACCTGTTCTGTTCTTTGAAAGTAATTGTAATTTTTCTAAAAAGTTAGCTGGCCTTAGTAAATTAAACCACATGCAGAATGCTGAATTCTTTTATTATCTCTTATGAACTACCCCTTCAGTGTGTTCTTCATTTTCCCTTTTTGTCTTGAAAGTATTAGAAGTCAATTCACAGTGGTATTAATTTTAGAGCTATTAAAAAGTTCAGGCCTTGAAGTCTTACTGTGCCAAAAAGAAAAATATTGGATTTTTTTCTGAACTTTTGTGGTCTGGGATTCCATGTGTCACAGTTCCTGTCCTCCAGAGAAAAGTACAGTTTGTGTCATGTCAGTGAAACTCAATAATAAAAGGTGAGTGAAGATGAATTGGCTCCTGCCAACATGTGCAATCAAGAGTCTTTAATTTTCTTCTGTATGGAGAAGAAAAATTATTTTCTATAATTTAAAGGCAGCTTTTGTGGTTTTGTCTGAGTGCTAATATTTGATTTATTCTTCACTGACATCACCATGATCCTAATTCAGTGTCTGAGCATTAATTTTATGCCAGTCTAAGACAGGTCTTTTCTACATCCCAAAGCAATTAATCCTGCATTCATGGTCAGTTGTCCTCAGATCTGCTCCATAAAGCCATCCATCATAAATACCAGCATGAGAAAAGCCCAACATCTTCCTTGTATTAGGCAATAGGTGAAAATAAGAGGAAGTGTAAATGAATGCCATAAATCATGACAATACACACCAGGAGAAGCTACTGGGCAGTAGCACAGCCACAGGGATGAGCTGGCAGAGCTGTCAGCCAGAGTTGACCAGAGAGCCTAGTGGTGAAAGCAGCCATCCAGGAAGCAGGGCCCTGAGCTAGGGAAGTTTGAACACCCCATCTGGGTTTTCTAGGCAACACCGCATATGCAGCAATGTAGGGTATTCTCAACAAAAGTGCATCTCATGAAGTAGGGAAAATGTGGCCTCAATTGCCATCAGAGGTGCAGCAAGAACAATAGATCCTTTCTGTAGAGCACTCAGCTGGGAGGAGAGAGATTTCTTGTTCCCAAAGTTTTCTGTTAGTCCACGATTGTCTAATCTAAAATAGAGAAACAGATCTATATCATCTTACTGAGGCCTGGATTTTTGCCTTAGGTACCTACATGAGCTAAATGTTTTTGATAGCGAGAAGCTTTTTAGTCAAGCAGAAAAAGCATGGAAAAGAGGCATTGCTAAGAAAGTAAAGATAAATAAGTGTGGGCTGAAAGCAAGAAGAGAGCAGTAGATTCTTTGTTCTTGAGTCCAAGGGCTTTCAAGAGCAGTGTTTTGTAGGAAATAAGATTAAATGAGGGACGATCAGAATGTCTCCGCTGCCTCTAAAGTAGCCTAGCCTTAAAACAGGTCAGTTTGTCAGTTGGATTTAGTGGGGCTGTTACAGCTGTAAATGCATCTACTTTTTAGGATTGACTTCCAAGTAGTATACAGAAAATAATTTAGTAGACTCTTGTAACAAGAAACATGTTTTCTTCTTCAAAAGTTGCCTTTTCCTCACACCTTTTTGCCTTCTCTTCCCCTGAGAAATAAAGCATCCTATTGCAGCGAGCAGTGCTTGCATTCCCCTTGGGTCCTTTGCCATACCCAGCTCTGCACAAAGTAACTGCAAATTGTTGTCAGGATGACAGAAATAGCTGTGCCTGCATCCAGCTAAGTCTGAAATGAGTCCTTGAACTGTAAGGAAAAGAGGAGCAGAATGCTGTGCCTTGGGGAGAATATCCCACTGTGCCCTGTGTGGGTATATGTGGAGGATGTTTTGCCCAGGTAGAGTAGTGCTATTCCCAGAGGAATCTCTGACTCACCTCCATTCTATGCTACAGGGGAAGCTGACAGTTAAATTGGGAAAATGGATTACAGCTGTGGATTCCCCTGAAGATGACGTTTTCTGTTAATGGATTTGTTGGGAGTAGGTACCGCTCAAAATTTTGGCAGGCTACGTATCTCAATGCTACTGTATAGTTCGTGGTTACTAATAGCAAAGATCAAGAAAATAGTGCTGGAAGGAACTGGGCTGACATAGATCTACTCAGGTTTAACATCTTACAGGACCAAAAGAAGGAGACTGGAAACCATTGGAAAAGATGGTTTAAATGTCTTCAAACAAGTTCCTTCTCTCACAAATCCTGGAAGTGGTATGCAGTGTTGTGTCTCCAAGAACTGTAAGGAAGCTGCAAGGAGAACAAAACCACAGCAAATAGCAAAAGCCATTCAATTGAGTCATGACTAAGAACCTGCCATGGAAAACCATAAAGCTTCGTAGAGGGGGTTGGGATCTTGAACCTTGAAAAAGAGAATGGAAATATCCTACAAACCCAATTTTTAAGTCTTCTGGAAGACTGATATGACACCTAGGGCTCAATATTAATCTAAGTCACTGTTTAGATTGATTATATTAGATGTGATATAATTGTAAATAATGTTGCCACCTGCCATATCACAGTCATGATGTGGTTGTCTGATATTTCCAAATGAGTGATCGTAACTGAAGGTACAGCTAGCTGATGGGGCAGAGCAAAAGAAGCAAAAACTTCTTTCATTATGGGGCTCCCAGTCTCGAATATACAGCTATTTTTGCATGTGTAAAAGTCAATGCAATATTTGAAAATGCTCATGGATGCTAAAACTGGAATCGTTCTTACCAAGAGAATCTTTCACCATTTTATTAGGTCAGGCAGAAAATCTATTTACCCTGGGTAATACTGTAATAGATAAAGCTGAAAACCGGACTGGAAGATGAATATCTCTCAAGTATAAAAATCTTCCAATATAAGATAAATCTGAGTTAAACAAAATTTGACACAATGGACAGAGCAGCCAGGTCTGGTGAGGATTAAGGCAAAGAGAATAATGGAAATAGTTTTCACTGCTGCTTCAAATACGTAATAACCAAAAGACCACCTCATTTCTTGGGATTTGGAATGGATACCATGCAAAATAATGAAATAAGCATTTATATTGCTTGGTTCATTGCAGGAATCGTGTCCCTGATCTCCCTGGCCGTCCTGTCCTACGAGCGCTACAGCACTCTCACCCTGTGCAACAAGCGCAGCGATGACTACCGGAAGGCATTGCTGGCAGTTGGAGGTTCATGGATTTATTCCCTGATCTGGACTGTACCACCTCTGATCGGTTGGAGCAGTTATGGGGTAGAAGGTGCAGGTACAAGCTGTTCAGTACGCTGGTCCTCAGAGTCAGCTGAGTCCACATCCTATATCATCTGTCTCTTCATATTCTGCTTGGTCGTCCCTGTGATGGTCATGATGTACTGCTACAGTCGCCTCCTTTATGCAGTTAAACAGGTAAGCAATTGTGTGCTATCTGTAGTGCAAACTGCTCTGAGGCATCTGTTGCATTTCTCTTTTATCAAATTTGGATGTACTGATGACAGAGAGCAAATCAGCAAACCAAAATGAAATTGAAAAGACCACAGAAAGCCTCAAGGAAGGTGCATGAGGACTTAAATCCTTTTAATTCTCCTGAAGCTTCAGTCAAAACAACCAGATAAGATCCATATAGATACTGATTTTGTGATTGGTAATACTGTGTTCTATGAAAACCAGCATATCAGAGTGAAGGTTGCATTTGTAATGAAGCAAATGCATATGTTTACCTGTTTATAAATAAGACATCTATACGAATATTTCTTCTTGGTTTTGGATTATGACGGTTTAATAATTTCTGCTTCCTAATCTGTGGAATCTCAACTCTACAGTAATGCAGTTCTACTGTGGTTTACAGAGTTAGCCGTAAATCAAAATAAAGGATTAGCTTCTCCTTGTAATTCTAGGCCACATTTCAAAGCTTCCTTGTAACTACAACCACCATTACTGCTACTCCTCCTACTACTACAATGGTGGTTCTTGCAGTGGCTTAAGGTGCAATGCAGATATTCCAAAATGAATGTTCCGGAAGACCCTGCCAGGGGTGTGGTATTATGAAGCGTGAATACTCTTGGTACAGTAATGAAATGGTTTAATGACGAATGATGAGAGAGGAATGAATATATAGGTGTTCTCTAAAAAGCAGTTCTCTAAAATGTTCAGATGAATTAACTGAAAGTGTTAAATGGGAAAAAAAAAGGCAGCAGATCTCTGAATAGAGGTTCTTGTACAGAATTAAATTGAATGTAGTTTGCTTTTGATTAGTCATAAGGAATTAAGGTTGCTTGTTTTATGCGATATGTCAAAACTTTGAGAACACTTAAAGCCCAAATGGGAAATCTTTTCCTGGTTGAGTGCTGAGTGGGCCAGTAAAATCCCTTTGATAAGAATCATACATTAGTATATCAGATTCCTGGGCAGCAGTTTCCTTTCCCATCACTTTAAAGAAAGGGGCAGGATCTTGGAACATGTGATACTAATAATATGGAGAAGATACACCTTACTTAAAATTTTATCTCTTCTTTCCTTCAGCCCTCACTGCCCTTCCTGACAACAAGAATCACCCACAACATACAAATACTTGTATGGATGAAGCTTCTGTAGCATGTACTTTAGCTTCTAGTGCTGAGGCTGAGGCTGAGAATAACTTGTGTTATTCTAGTCACTTTTTTAAAATTTAAATTCAGTTGTATTAAAAGTGGTCATAATCTCACTGATCTGCTGTGAAAAACATGCTGAGGGAACAAAGTATCACAGAAGAGATATATGCACTCTGTAGCCATTTTTTATTTAGACATGAAGACTGGGTAGACTGGATGGAAGATTAGGTCGATTGATTAATCAATAATTTTGAAAGGAAGCAAAAACTATGGGAGAAGGAATAGCATCTTCCACAATCCTCTCTCCTCCATAATCCTTGTGCCTTCCAGAATGACCAGTGAGCTTCTGGGGTGCTGAGGTTAGAGGATCCTGAGAAATTTTGTAAATGGTGGAAGTGAAAGAGAATCAAACCTAATCTTGTATAACCTGTTGGAGAGACAGGCCTTAGGGAACTAACTCTTGTTAAATGCAAAGGAACTCTAGTGAGGATTAAATCATATCTCCTCTTTAAAGTTGTTATGACTAAGGGTCATAAGAGCTGCCCGAGCATTTGAGAAGTCTTGAATAGCTAAACCCTAAATTTTTACACAAAATATCTTATGTTTTCCTGCTGTTTGTAAGATTTCCTGGATGAGTTATATTTCACCAAAAAGAATCTCAATCAGAAAACTCATCAGTCCTAAGCTTTCTATGATGTACCAGAAACTGTTTCCGGTACCATAATCCTGAAATCTTGCATTTCATAAATTTCTTGTGACATATATATAAATTTCCAAAGAACATATCGTGACAAATCACTGAAATACAACCTTTTTCCCCCTTGGTCTGAGGTCCTCTAACTGTTCTGTACTAAATGGGATAGTTTATGAAATGCTTAAGTATGTCATGTTTCAAATTAGAGAAAAAGATGAGCAATATGTAAATGAAAATATAGGAATTCTTACATAAAAGTACAAAGAGTAGGTAGGATAACAAAAAAAAAGGTTAAGAGAGGTTTCAGCATTCATTATAATGCTGTAACTTTCTGGAGTGGGAAAAAAAATTAATTATCTAGCTATTTTCTGGCCTCGTAGATTTAAGTCCTTCTGTGACTCTTTGTGTTATGTATTAGAAGTAATATGGGAACATTGTAAACATAATAAGTGCATTATCCCAACTTCAGCCTCTTGGTAATTTTTCTAAATATGCATTTCATAATTTTGCCAGATCTATAGAAGTTTTTATGTTAGAGCATTGTAGCATTAATGGTGTTGCACCCTGAAATCAAGAGTGCGGGAGTTATGCCATTAATAATAGTACAATGCAAATTAATTGAGGTGAAGAAATGTCTTAATAGATTTGTGATAGTTAATGCAAGAATTGGCACAGTGCCTGGATTTCCTCTTTTGAGCAACAGTGATTATAGGTCTGCTTTTCTCTTTTTGTTCTCTGTATTTAGTCAGGTGCTGTAGCGTTCTGTCACTTGAGGCATTAATAGATCCCACAAAGTCATCTGCAGTCTTTGTAGTGGTAAAAAGCTCAAGGATTTCAGTAATACAGGTTATATGAAAGATCATCTTTTCAAGGAATTACAAGTCAGTAGCATCCTTGTGTGAATAATGTTAACAGCAAATGCCATTAAACAGCATTATGCCATTAAACTGCATTATTATCTCAGAGCTCTTGCCATTTATCAAACTCAAAGATCCTTACTCACATTATTTTCTTTAAAGGTATGGGGTTTTTTCCCCAGGCTAGCTTTATCTGGACAGTTGAGTTTGATCAAATGGGCAAAGTTTTCTCCCTCACAAAATATTATTCACGTGTATTTTATTCTTGCACATTCTACAGCATAAGGAAAGGAAACTGCGGATGTTTTATTTTTCCTTATGCAATTCCATTACTTTTTCCCACTTTTTGGCTTATGATGCTTCTCTGTGACTCTATCATTGCATTCCCTCTGGAAAAATGTTCTTTGTGAAGCCAGTGTCAGTTGTTTACACTTTGAGAAGTGGGCTCCCAAATGTGGAATTACAGGGATTAGCATTGTGATCACTGTGTAGCACAAAAGACACAATGTGATTAAAATCCTCCACCGAGGGGCCCAGAGAACTCATGTCAACCAATCTAATGAAAATTAGTAAAACTTTTAAAAGAGATCTCTTCGGTCTGCACTGTCTCCCACTTACATGCAGAAATCCTGCCCAAGGACAAGAAGAGTCCCAGAAGATTGTTTCAAGAAGTTTTCAGCCTGGTTTTATGGAGACTCTCATATCATTGCCAGTCTTCTTTCATCGAAAGCTGCGCCTGAACAAAGTTCAGCAGCTCTTTATGGAATGTAGCTAGTACATGGAAAACACTAGAAAGAACTGTATGCAGAGCATGAAGACTTAAATATATAGTGTAATACCCGTCTGACTGTGCGGTTTTTGCTCAGTGCAACAGACTGTGTGTTAAAATGGGCAAAGGGCCAGTGGTCACACTGTCTCATGGGGTTCTGGAGTAGATGGACTTGCTACATGAATTGATATTCCTAAAGTGTTTGTGGGTTTTTTGAGTGGGTTTTTTTTCTTTTTTTTTTTTGGTCAGGGATTTTTTTTTTTAAACTTGAGAATAGTGAGGAAAAAGTAGCGCTGAAAAAAATTTATTGTGTCCTTTCACGTTGTTACTCCACCTGTACTTTGACTTCGTCTTTGACAAAAAAAAAGGCAAGAAAAAATATTCAGGGAAAATTGTAAGACTAGCCCATATGAGGCAGAAGTTGGCCTTACCAGTATGTCTTGTCCTCTAGCCTGTGGTTCACATACTAATGCTTAATTGCTCATAAACTGCTATTTTTGACTAGTGACCAAAATGTGAGTCCAGGTAGTGGAATTACCCAACTATTTATTTTCCTTTACAGCAACTTTTGTTTTGTTTCTTTTGAAAAATGTCACATGATTTCTGACTTCTAGATTTCACAGGAGAACCAAATCACCTTTTTTTTATCCCATCCCCTGACCTTTATGAGTCTTGTGAACTTGTAGGGGAAGGGGACAGTCAAGGTTGTGCAGTAAAGAGCTGTCTGGTCCTCTTTCTTACTCCTCTTCCAAACTTCAACTTCAAAGTACCAAATTTAGTGGAGGAAAAGTGATTCTGTCTCTTATTTAAGAAGTAATGCCCCAGAGCGAAATTATGACTCAATTATAAACCCAAGGAAACTAATTTTTAGTTCTGAACTATGAGATTTTGACTCTATGCTATTTTTTAAAGATTTGGATATAAACAACAGTGTTGGTTTTGAAATCTTCCGTGCCCACAAAGGAAGTCTTAGAGAAAAAGGAAAGAAGAGGTGTAAATTTTTATGACTTCTGATTCCTTCATCCTTTTTTTATGTCTGTTCTATTTGGAAAATTAAGAAGAATCTGTAAAAACAATCATGGCATCATTGTTCATTAAAGTAGTCAGGGAAGGACGATAAAGTAGAAGGATTGCTCCTGTGAATCTTTCTAGTTTTCCATCTCATTTGGAAGTGACTGTTTGGAGAAAGACAGCAGATTAGGGCAGAACGCTCCATGATTTAAACTGAAATCTTTTTCACGTAATACAGAAAGTAGGATGGAAGTGTAATTATTGTTCCATCATTGCTTGATATGCTTCATATGCTATTTATAGAGAAACTCAATTTTCCAAAACTTTATCTTTGATGGCACTGAAATTAGGATTTATGTTGAGAAAACTGATAAAGCAATTATAGACCATTAAATCTTAGCTTCTTAAAACCATAAATAAAACCAGGTTTGTAGTCATAGGCCTTCTTTTAGGAGTAAAGTTCAAAATCTTTCTAGTTATTTAATTAA